TATCTCTCACCATGCACTAAACTAAAATCAAAATGGATTAAAGATCTAAATATTAAAATACAAACTCTGAACCAGTTGGAACAGAGGTTATAACGGTAGAACCCTTGAAGACATCAGTGTAGGAAAAGATTTTATGGACAAAACCTCAGTTGCCCATGAAGTAGCACAAACAATCAACAAGTGGGATCTCTTATTATTAAATCTGCTTTATTGGCAAATTTCAAGTATATAACACATCACTGACTATCATCACCATAATTTATATCTAAAATTTAATTCCTACATAACTGAAACTTTACACTTTTTGAGTCCATCTCCCATGTTCCCTCTCTGTTTCTCAGATTTCAAATTCTGTGGCTTTTACACATAAGTGTTTTGCTTATTTCACTTAGTAGACTCAGGTTCATTCATGGTGGCAAGATTTCCTTTCCCTCTGATTAATAATTCATTGTATCTGTACCTATGTATTGTGATATTGGGATATATTCAGATAGATGTGGAAATATTACAATTTCTGACAGTTATTATGAATAGTGCAGTAAGGAACATGGGTATGCACAAGTCTGTATGAAGCAATGTTTTCATTTTCTTTGAGTGTATGTCTGGAAGAGTGAAGCTGGGTCACCAAGTAGCTCAAAAGTTTTTTGACACCAAAAATTCAGACAATAAACGCAAAAATAAGTAAGCAGGGCTGCATAAAACTAAATAGCTTCTACAAAGCAAAAGAAACAATCAACATATCAAAAGAAGGATTCAGAGATAATTGAAAAACCAAATTTTGTTTTTATTTTAATCATGAGAAATATAAGTTTTGCCTGGTTGAAGCTGTCTTTCAAAAACTGTATTAAATAATTGTCTAGTTAGACTGAATATATGAGCAAGGTAGCTAGTGATAGAATCTTTTTGAAGACAAAGAATTAATGACAGGAAGTAACAAATGGCTTCTGAGAAATAAACCTTGAAGCTTGAGACCCCTGCCCATGACAGTAATGGAACCAAGTACTGATGTGTCTGGATATTTATTGACTTATTTTTTTAATTTTATTTTATTGGTACATTTTAGGTATACAATATAATGACATTCACCATTGGAAATTTGCACCTTTACATAATCTCTCTTGGTTCTTATTTTTCCCCCTTCCCCTGCCCTCCCTTCAACCCCTCCATCCCTCCCTATTTACGAAGACTTTGTTTCCTTTTTTTCATTTTCTCATATTAATTTCATTCCCTTCTTTCCTTTCCCCACCCCTCCCAATTCCCCTTCCCCTTTGCCCCTTTTCTTCCTATTTCACATTATCTATTATACCTTTTAGTCCTTATTTACACTTTCAGTTTCTCACACCAGAGAAACTATTCAGTATTTACACGTGTGTCCTATTTATTTCACTTAAGAGTATTGCCTCAGTGTGCACTTATTGACTTACTGATATGTTCCTTTCAACCGCCTGCATAAAGTATATGAAATTTTAGAAAGAAAAATACATGAAAATATATGAAAGAAATTCATAGTAAGGTTACTACATCATAAAAAACAAATATAAAACAAACTTTCAAGCCAATGTCTAGCAAAATGACTAGTGAAGTAATCAAGACAGTGAGGATGGAACATGTTGGGAAAGAAGTGGAAAATTTAAAGTGATGGGTGGAGATATGTCTGGAGATGATTTGGGGTTGTTTAAAGAGTTTTCATTCCTTTTCAGATCCAGACCAGCATAGGATTGAATATCACCAGTTCTGTGCTAGCAGCCTTAGGGGTCATACTCACGGCAATCAGCATGAACATTTTGTCATTTGAATATTCTATCTGTCACCGGGCTCACATGCCAGATATGTGTTCCCTGACCTTTGCAGTTATGACGGTGAGTTCTTCATCTACTCATGGCAGAAACACGACTGGAAAATGATAGCTGCGTCAGAACCAATAATCAGCCTTCGGAAGTTACTGAGTTACTTCAGAGAGTTGAAATTGAGAAACAGATCAATATTTTATTTATAACAAATAATCTCATGAGTTAGTTTTCACTAAAGACTAACCATTAGTCTAAACTAAGTTACTCTAAGTTGCCTCTACTTTTATGTATAAAGTATGCTGTGAATACTTTGTATTCATTTGAAGAACCCGGGATAATCTTCCCATGTTGGTTAATAAGCAACCTTAATTATATCTGTAAACTTAATTCCATTTTCCCATATCGTGAAATTCTGGAGGATAGAATGTGTACATTTTAAATCAACCTTTATCTTGCCCATAATCATCAAGATAAGAGATCAAATTATTGCAACATCAATATAAAGTTTCTAGCATTTGAAAAAAACAGACAAAATTTCATATTGCCATTCTCGACCACATTTTTTACACATTTTCACATTCTGCGCCCATAATAGCATTGGAATGTAGTAAATGAGGAAAAACGCTGAGTATTTTAGCTGTGAAAACACAGAATAAGTGTTTTCAATAGATCAAAAATTGGCCAATGAATTGGCTTTAATGAGGAACTGGGTTTCAGTGCTTTTCTTGAATCACTGTAATTAACAGTAAATGTGGAACCTGATATCTCCTCTGGTTTCTTTGTTATATATTGATGTTTAGGGTCTGGAAGGTATGGTGCTCATTTTCAGTCTGCTGGAACTCAGCATTGCCTTGGCCCTCGCTACCTTTGGATGCAAAGTTACCTGTTGTAACCCCACTGGGGTGAGTGTTGCTCTTCATTTGGAAATGTCTCATGTCATTTTCCGTTGCTATGTCATCATCAGGTTCACAAGCCTAGAGGCTTCAACAATGCACGTATATAATCCCTCAGCTGCTCTGGGTCAGGATCTACACACAGCTGTGCCGGGTCTGCTCAGGGTCCCCAAGACTGTACTCACGGCTCAGCCAGGGCTGCAGGCTCATCTGAAGCTTCCAGTCCTCTTCCTCGCATAGGCAGCAGAACCTCTTCCCTCCCAGGTGTGGAGCTCAAGACAGTGTACTTCTCTGAAGGCAGCAAATATGTCATTCCTTCCAGCTCTTAAAGGGCCAACAAGATTAGGTCAGGTTCATCCAGAATCCTGTCCTTTCTGATGTACTGAAAGTCAGCTGATCAGTCACCTGCTGGTGGGAGAGACTGTCATCCATGAGCAGTCACAGGGGAGTGAGCCACTGAGGGTCTTCTTAGAATCCTGTCTTACAATGGCTGTGGAAAAGCTCTTCCCCCATTCTTACCTTCTAAAAAGGCATCCCTCTCTCAGTTCAGATCAGTAAGCGCTTCACAAGGGAGGGGTCCCCAGTGGTGCCAGAGTTTACTTTATTTTCCTATGAGTGAAGAAATGTGAGGCTGGAGTCTTCATGGCCGAACCTGCAGCTTTGCAGCTGATCCTCCAGGTTCTGAGCAGAACCAAGTGGGAAATGGAAGGGGGAAGATCCAGGAAAGGCACCCTGAGAAGAATAGGGCTGGGGCGTCCTCCGGGCACTGACTGCCAGCATGAGGCGTTGGCTGCTAAAATCCCAACCACGCTCATAGCCACTAATATGGGAATAATGGCTTAATGAGGTTGTTTTGTATTGCTCATTTAAACCCTTTGTTCTCTTCTCCTACCCCTACCGCCTTCCACCAAAAGAGAGAGATGGATATCAACTCTTATGAGGAGTCTGCATTATTGAGGCCACAGAGTGTGCGCCTCTCAGAAGTCACCAATGACCTTATTTCATTGAATAAAGCATTCTAGATTCACAAATCTAACCTGGGAATCCCCTGCCCTAGACTAGTTATTGAGCTTAGAAATGCTCCCACTAGTCTGGTTGAATCCAGAAGAGCGGCAGCACAGGATGCCTAAGTCTCAATGCTGTCCTCGATCCCCCACTGCCCACAATCAATTCCATGTGGCACTATGTTTTGGAAAAGGGCCAAATTGTTTTTCAGTTTCATCATGATTCCTACCATGGTTTTAACCATGCTCCATTTATGACCAGCAAACCATGATTTGAGGTACCATTGCTACCGGCATGAGCAAACTAGTTTGGAAGAAGACCTGTGACTTTCCCATGACACCTGAGTCACCCAAGGCACTGGCACCTTCATCCACAAGATAGACCAATCCACTCTATGATGTAGTGACAGCCATTGGCATCTCTGGCTAAGTGCTGTCGCTGAATGTGTGTCCTCAACCTGGCACGATGTAAAGAATGCCTAAGCAGTCCACCTCGTTGATCTTGAGATTGAATTCACAGGAGAAAGATTAGGTGCTAGTGAGGATGGTATTGAGGGGGCCAACAAGATTCATTGGCAACTCACCTATGGCACTGTGATTGGTTTCACAGGTTGTGTTAATCCTACAGTCAAATCCTCTTGTGGCGCAAACTGCATCTCCTGCCCCAGTCCAAGAAGGTTTGATGCCACTGACGAATCAAAAGGAAAATGTTCCATAGAAGAATCTTCCTGGTTTTAGTGCAAGAACCTCACCTGGGAAACTGCCAGAATCCAACTCCAATTTGTGTGTGGTTGTGTGTGTTTATAAAAGCTCAAACCATATTCCAGCTTTTCCCCCCAGAACCAACTCAAGCCAGTGATCCTTTATCAGAATATTAGACATTGAACAGGTGAATCGAATCGTGCATTTAATGCTCAGTGATCCTCAAATTTCGTCCATCTTAAGCCATCAAGTTGGCAAAGCTTTGCTGACAGGCAGAGATATTACTGAAATTAGAAGAACGAGGCTCTTGTACACATTTCCTATTTTTATTTTCCTGTCCTCCGCCCATTGGTTTACCTGTTTAACTTTTTTCTTAACTCATCTTTGAGGATTCAACTCATTTTTCTCCTTCAAGAAGTTGACAGTTATAGCCCCTCATCTCCCCTTTACCACCACCTTCTTTCCTTATCCTGTAACAAGCACCAGAGAATAGCAGTCAGTTCGTGTATGGACAAAAGCCATGATTTGAATGTAAATACACACAAATCAAATTCAACTTTCACATTTCTCTCTCTTTCCTCTATCTGGTAAGTGTCTATCTTAAATTAGTAAACAGTGCTATATATGCCTGCACAATGTGTGTTATTTACTATATGTTCATTAAATGCATTTGCTTTATTTACTACTGAGCAAAAAATAAATTAGACAAAATTAGAAGCAGAACATTTCTGAGCTACATACTTCTCATTCAGATATAATATTGGTAGGAAAAGACTAAGTGGTTACATCAAGAAATGTAGTAGTGGGCCAGGGATTTAGCTCAGTGGTTTCGCTGCCTGCTGCGCAAGCGCAAGGACCCGAGTTTGATCCTCGGTACCAAAAGAAAAAAGAAAAAAAAAAGAAATGTAGTAGGATCCTGGGCATAGAGGTACAGACCAATAATCCCAGCATTCCAAAGACTGAGGCAGGGGGATTGCACTGAGTTCAAGTCCAGCCTTGGCACAGCAAAACCCTGTCTCAAAAAGAGAGAGAGAGAAGGCACTGGGGATTTAGTTCAGTGGTTTCGCCACCTGCTGCACAAGCACAAGGACCGGAGTTCGATCCCCAGTACCAAAAAAAAAAAAAGAGAGAGAGAGAAAATGTAATGATGTGTTAAAAATGTGTGCTTTTAAAACAATCAACTTGGGTTTCATTTTAAAAATCCTATGTCTCTTATTTTGTACTTACGCTATATAACCATGGAGTTATGAAAAAATTTCTCTGTGCTTCATATATCTCTTCAATAAAAGAATATCATCTGGCTCATAGACTCAAATTATAAATGCTTGGTACAATATAGATAGAGCAACCAGTACTCTGGCCCATATCAAGACTCAAAGTTTTAATTTGTACATATAGATACGTTCATATGTATTTACTGTAGCACACGGTTTTTGACATTCTTCTTCCATGAGCTAATTATTCATAGTCTTTGTTTATCTTTTTAGTTGTTATGCATACTTTCACATTGGCTTCATTGACCCATCATCTGTGTCGGATATGCAATCATACTTTTCATCAGCTATTAGATATTTGCATTAATTTTTGGTGTCTACTATTATAAAAATATTTTAATGTAGATAATTCTTTCATCACTTCATTTATAACAATATTTATTATATAGTGATATTTATTCACTAATATTATCAATGGCCCGGAATACCCTTTCTCATCCCAACTTTACAATATGTTTTCTCATAGCTTTTTTTAAATTGCCTTATAATTTGGACTTTGGAATTTATTTTATTAGTATGATTTAATATTATAAGTTCAACATTTTCCATATCACGTGGCAATTATACTAGTAATACTGACTCCATAATTCATTACCACCATGATGTCATTAAATGAAAACATTTTATCCTATAGTGAAGACATGTTTGTCTGTGATTACAATCTTTTAAATATATGTGTTGTATCTTTCATGACAAGTCCCTACCTTACTTATTTTTCCCCAATGCTTCACAAATATTTTGAAGCTTTTGTTACCAAAACTTTTTTTATTCTTTTGGTTCCAGGGATCGAACTCAGGACCTTGTGCTTGTGAGGCAGGCGGTGGCACCACTGAGCTAAATCCCTGGCCCTGTTACCAACACTTTTTCCTATTTGTTCTTATAATCATGAACTTGAGTTTCCCCATATCCTTACCCCATTTAGGTACAGGGTGAAGAAGATTCTGCCCTGGCATTAGAGTTGAAATTTGTCCTAGATCTGGACACTAGGAGAATTACATCAATCCAGCAAGAATGATTTCTGAAGTGGCCTTGGAAAGGCCAAAGAAAACCCAATATATAAATGACACATCTCCAGTGAAGCCAATCCCACCATTTTGTTTCGCTCACTGAGAAAGAATGTCTTTCTCTTTCCTTTTTCCTGTAGGGCTTGGAACTGTAAGGATGTAAATCTGATGCTATTGGCAGCATTGTGAATCTTGTGACAGACAAATGCTAACAGCAGACAGCAGAGCTGAGAGGCCAAGTGAAAGATCAGCTCCAGTGATCTCCCTCAAGTCCCTGCATCAAGGGGTGCCTGGAATGAGGTTGGTCCCTGGGGTGTTACATATATGAAGAAATTAGCACCCCTATTCGTAGAGTCAGTAAGTAATTGGGTAAAATCTTCCAAAGGCTTCTCCTCCCATGGAGAATAAAAGTCCAAACTCACACTAAGCCCTACAAGTTCTTACATCAGCTGATACTTCCCTCTACCTTGGATTTTGTAAAGCATGCTCCACTCCCATTTCCTGCTATGTTGTTTTGGGTTTAAATGGCCAGAGAATGTCTTCCTTCGGTGAGAACTGTTGCATATCTGAGTATTTTAAGAGTAGTACTTTTTAGTTGTTCATGAATTCATATAAACGCTCTGGGTTACGAGAGAGAGAGAGACTGAGATTTCACATTTTAGAGAAGACTGCCGGCATGCATTTCCATCATGTCATTTCTAACTTGTTCTCGGTGGATGAATCCAGTGATGAGTACCAAGCTCCCACGACCAACCACCTTCCAAGCTCCCAGCCTCTGAGCACATGAGTTTTGCAGGACATTGTAGACCAAAGCCAAAACAAACACATAATCATATAAAATATAATGGTGTCATACATATAATACACAATGCAATTTTCAAATTGTTATTTTGAGTTTTCAGAAATACAGTTAATTTTAATAGACTGTGCCTCTTAGACCTCACTAAGATTTTAATCTGATACCTATTGCTTTAGCCTGAAGAGCTTCCTGTAGTATTCATTTTCTCATTTCCTCAGATTTTGTTTGTTGTCTGAATACATCTTTATTTTGCCTTGATCTTTGGTGGATCCTGTGACAGCCTGTGACTGTTAGGCTGACTTTTTTTCTCTTTGAGCATTTCAATGATGTCTATTGATTATCTTTTGGCTTACACAATTTCTGATGGAGAGGTCACGATCATTGACTTTGTATTTCCTATGCAATGTCTCTTTTTGTGCTGCTTTTAACATTTTCTCTTATAATTTATTTTTAGTCAATGATCATATGCCGTGGAGCTGCTCTGATGTGTGAATTTATACCTTTTATCAAATTTGGAAACTTTAATCATTTATTTCAATAATATTTTTCACTCTCTTCACACATTCTAGACTCTTTTATATCAGATCATGGACATTTTAATAATCTTTTCAGACTTTCCTCTCAACTCAGAATAGTTGAATTTTAACCTTGAAGGATACCAATAAAGAGATATTTGTATTTTTCCATATGTAAATTTTAAGGATATAAATATATGAGATTTAATTGAGTCAATACTTATCTGAGAATTTAAATCTTGAAACATAATATTGAAGTATACTATACTGACTTTTTAAAGCCACATTGTTTAGGTTTTATAAGAACTAACTCAGAAAAGACAATAGCATATTTAAGGTGATATTTTATATTTAAATTGAATTGCCATATTTAAAATTATTTTGCATCTCAACAGTTTTAACCTATGCTTAGAGTTTTTTGCACAATATAAGTAAAGAAAACACAGTGAGACAGACCCATACAAATTTCAGGGAAAAGATTTAAATTTTTGAAAGAAACAAAATATGTCCTTTGGCTCGCATTTTGAGTTTGGGGTATGATAACCAGGGAAAAGACATATGATGATACTCTCTTTGTATTGCCCAGTGGGCACTGAAAATAAAAATAACCAGAAAAGTTGAGAAGCAGTATGCCTGAAGCTGACAGTGCATTTCCTCCCTGATCTGGACTTCTGTAACTCAGCAATCTGCTGTTAAGTGACTGGGGTCTGCTGCGATCACGTCTCTTCCTGTGAGTCCTTTTGACTAACTGTGTGCTGATGAACATACTGCATCTCTTGAATTATGGTGTCCAATACCCAAATACATCCAGGCTAGGCAAGTCCTGGAAGGTCTGTATGGATTCCACCCTGGGGATGGCTATTGTCAGTCTCAGCACAGGGTGCTTATTCCCCCTGGCGAAAGTCAGGGTTTCTTTTCTAACCCCAGCCATGGGGTCCCCAGATATTGGTCTCGAACTTGCTCTCCTCTCTTGGACAGATGCTGTTGTTCAGCCAGGAGGGCTAAGCTGGACTCGGGAGGAGGGAGCCACAGTGTAGTGGGCTCCATACCTTCTGGAGCTCCCCCCAGCATCTGCTGGGCAGTTCATTGTTCTGCTCCTAGGAGCGCCATGCCTCAATGCATAATATGAGTCTGTATACATTTCACGACTATCCATCCATTGCATATACAAAGACATACATATATAATATAGATACACATATGTATTATAATAGTCCAGAGAAGAAAGCAGATTGGAGAGGGCATCTTGAACTGGTTTAATGGGCAGCTTCCCTGGAGGGAAAGTGGTGCTCTGGTCCCTGCAGGGGCCAAGCTCCTTCTCTGTGGGGCTCGAGCAGAGCCACACCCTCCAACTCAGGGGACTCTTTGACAGAGAGAGGGCCCAGAGCATGATGGGAAAATGGCAGCAGGCTCCTGGGAAGGGGAAGGGGCAGCATGAGATCGGGAGAGAGGGGAGGAAATATCTCTCTCCTCACCACGGATTTCTGAGCAAATCTGTGCTCTTCCTCTGGACCTTGCAACAGGGACTCTATTTTGCAATCCTGGTGCCATCTGGCTCTGGGAAAGAAGCCAACCCTCTAATGGCCATGGCACTTCTTATCCCATCTTCAGCAGAACAGAGTGTGGACGTAAGCACAGGACACATCTGTCCTCTGAGGTGACGGCTCCGGTCCGCACTGGCTGCCCCCAGGAAAAGATGAAGTAGCTCGGGGCAGGGGCTGTACAACGACAGACTGGCCCACTGCCCTTGGCCAACACACCAAAGGCAGCTTCCCAAGGGCGCCCGGCCAGCTGAGGGGCTCAGGGAACCCAGTCCCCGTGAAGCGTCCCCAGTGGAAGTCTGTGGCATCTGCGCAAGGCCAGCTGGATCGTCCCATCTGCGTTTCCTCCAGTCTCATCCTCCCCTGGAGGAGCCCAGGTTTTCCTGAGGCCGCAGTAGACTGGTACAGAAAGAGGGTGGCCAGGAGGAGCCCAGAGTGGGAGGACTAGGCTGAAAGCAGCCAGTGGATGTTTTGAGCCTGCCCATTTCCTGAGGAACTGGAAACACACACACACACACACACACACACACACACACACAC